CTACTAAAAATACAAAAAAAAAAAAAAATTAGCTGGGCGCGGTAGCGGGCGCCTATAGTCCCAGCTACTTCGGAGGCTGAGGCAGGAGAATGGCGTGAACCCAGGAGGCGGAGCTTGCAGTGAGCTAAGATCGCCCCACTGCACTCCAGTCTGGGCAACAGAGCGAGACTCTGTCTCAAAAAAAAAAAGAAAAGAAAACTCAGGCAAAATTCTAGGATCTTAATAGGATTAAGGTTAATATTGGATGAATTTGAGCAAATGAGGTGATAAAGGTTTTTTCTGTCTTAAAGGGTCATACTGGACTTTGACTTTCTGAAGGTCTGTGTCTTTGAGTGTCTAAACTGATCCTTTCATTCCCAGACTGGTAACTTTTCATTTTATTTTTATTTTGAGACAGAGTCTCGTTCTATATGGCCTGGGTTGGGGTGTAGTGGTGCGATCTCGGCTCACTGCAACCTCCGCCTCCCAGGTTCAAGTGATTCTTATGCCTCAGCCTCCACCTCCTGAGTAGCTACAATTACAGGCATGTGCCACCACTCCTGGGTAGTTTTTGTATTTTTAGTGGAGTTAGGGTTTCGCCATGTTGCCCAGGCTAGTCTCAAACTTCTGACCTCAGGTGATTTGCCCACCTCAGCCTTCTGAAGTGCTGGGATTTACAGGCATGAGCCCTCCAGGCCCTGCCAATTCCCAAACTAGAAACTTACCAGAAGAACATGTGCTAACAAGTTTCCTGGAACTGTTTGTTAATATGATATTTTGTTTACCTATCTCTGAAAAGTTACTCTACTTTTTTACTATTCATTTTGTTAAACTAAAACACTGTGACATGCTTGTAATAGTAGTATTTATCATAATGATCATACGACAGCATTCTTAAAGGTCATGTTTACTAGGCCAGCCACCCTATTGACTGTGTATCTATTAAGCGTATCTTAATGTGTTAAGAACCTTAGACATTGAGTAAAAAAAGACCCCTTCATCTTAGAAGCAAAGTACTTTAGGTCCAGAGAAAGTAAATGGCCCAGTTAGAGCAGTATTAGCTTCTTAATTCCAACGGCAACATAGTTCCTGCACCATTCTGTTCCTCTAGCAATCAGTGGCTACAAATGGCTATCTGGCTGTTAATTCACACCTGTAATCCTAGCACTTTGGGAGGCCGAGGCAGGTAGATCGCTTGAGGCCAGGAGTTCAAGACCAGCCTTTGCAACATGGCAAAACTCCATGTCTACTAAAAAATACAAAAATTAGCCAAGAATGGTGGCGCATACTTGTAGTCCCAGCTACTTGGGAGGCCGAGGCATGAGAATCGCTTGAACCTGGGAGGTGGAGGTTGCAGTGAGCCAAGATTGTGCCACTGCACCCCAGCCTGGGTGACAGAGTGAGACCCTCCAAAAAAAAAAGTAGCTTAAAGTAGCTATCTGATGTGATTTGATGACAGCTTTCTCAAATACGATGAACAACCCATTAACTCTAGGTCTCATGGTCTAGATCAGTGATATTTAGATTTGCGTTTTTATCAGTAGAACCCTTTGAACAAAATAATATTCAGAAGTCTAACATGTAAAGCCTATAAAAAGGGAACTCCTTAGGCTAAAACAACAGTATTGAGGCTAAAGCAAGAACCACTTGCCCTGTCACCTTTCTTCTATCTCCATAGCAGTTCCTGAGGTAATTGCAAGAAACAAATCTTGAATTACTTCTGCCATACATAATAGTTGAGGGAGCTTTTGGTTTTACATACTTAGTCTTACCCTTAAATGATTGAAGTAGACCAGTGAAGTTAGGAGCATATTAAGGGTGTGAATTTCCAAATTTTCCTTTGGATTTCCCAAAAATCTAAAGCTATGGATTTTCAACTGAATTTGATTTATTAACTTTCTTCTAAAAAAAAAAGTTTTATTTATTGAATTCTGATCTTCCCATACTATCTTTTCTATAATTAATGATATTTAATTCTCGGGTCCTGGTTTCTTTCTTCAGCACATTTACTATTTCTGTCACTAAAAAAGATTTTCTCATAAAGATCTCCTACATGAGCTAATTTATCTTCACATCATTACTTTAGGTGCCTTTTTAATTCACCATGTCACATACCTTGGTTTCTACAATCTCGGTGAAAACATTTTAATACCCCATTTATCTACAGAGTATGCTTCTGACAAATTTAACCACTGAGAGCACAGCACCCAGATTCTGATATAAAGGGGAAATACCTTTAATAGTGCAGGAAAAGTAGGTGTTACAAAACCATCTAAGGAGAACGTGGGATCAACCACAGGTCCATGTCTAAATAGTTTTGGCTGAAATAAGGCAATTGGAGAGGAACAGAAATGTAAGCCAATACCTTGGCATATTAGCTTGAACAGTAAAAGGTTTGGTGTTCGTCATGATGACCTTGAGTCATCAGAAAATAACGTTTTGAGTTTACTCTTTAAATGGCGTAGATTCAGCAATATCTGATAAATTGAATAACCTGGTAGAACTGATTCAACAAATGTTGAGTATGGTGTGCACTGCACTCTGTGTTTTGGTAGATTCAAAAATGAATCCTGCCGGGCTTGGAGGCTCACATCTATAATCCCAGCATTTTGGGAGGCTGAGGCAGGCAGATCACTTGAGGTCAGGAGTTTGAGACCAGCCTGGCCAACATGATGAAACCCCATCTCTACTAAAAATACAAAAATTTAGCTGGGCATGGTGGCAGACACTTGTAATCCCGGCTGCTGGGGAGACTGAGGCAGGAGAACCTCTTGAATCTGGGACGTAGAGGTTGCAGTGAGCCAAGATGGTGCCACCGCACTCCACCTGGGCAACAGCGAGACTGTCTCTCAAAAGAAAAATAAAATAAAAAATGAGTCCTTATGTCCGTCCTATCCTCATGTTCTAACCTAGGTGGAGATGACATTGGTACAAGTAATTGTGTTAATAATACAACATAGAACATCAGGAGCAAGGAGAGATTAGTTCCAGCTAAGGAATTGTGGATTTCGTTCATACAAAATTGGAACACGGCTTTGAAGAATGATGAAGATTTGGGCATGTGGGAATTCATTCAAAAATTATTCCACCAGTGTCTCCAGTATATCAGCACTATTTTAGATCCTAGAGATACAAAAATAAGTAAAATATAATGCTCTAGGTATTCTTAGTCTAGCGGAAACCTCAGACAACTAAATAATTTGTATTAGAGTGTTATTAGTGCTTTGACAGAAATATGTAGAAATTGCTATTAGAACACAGAGATAGGAATGATTAACTCTGCCATTAGGAATCAACAGAGATAAAGTTTGAGCTGGATCTTAAAGTCTTAGTTTGCAAGGCAAATAGACATACTGAATAGAGGAAATCATATTTAAAATATATGTCAATGCGGTTTGTTTCTACAACTGATGTTGCAGTGAGATTTGAGCTTAGGATATAGGTGGGGGGAATGGCAGGAAACAAAATTACATTAGGGCTATGTTGCAAAGGGCGTTTTATTCACTACTGAGGAATTTTAACTCTGGAAGAAATGAAAAACCGAAGGAAATAAGTGGTACTAACATAAGAACAGACATACACACCAATAGAATAGAACAGAGAACCCAGAAATAAACCCTCGCATATATGACTAATTGATTTTCAAGAAGGGTACCAAGACTATTCATTGGGGAAAAGATGATCTTTTCAACAACTGGTGCTAGGAAAACTGGATATCCACATGCAGAAAAATGAAGTTGGACCTTTACTGTGACATACGCGTAAATGACCTCAAAATGGATCTAAGATGTATTTGTAAGAACTAAAACTCTTAATGGAAAATATAGGGAGAAGTCTTCATAACATTGGATTTGGATATGGTATCAAAATCATGTGCTACAAATGAAAAGTATAAAATTGGACTTCATCAGGATTAAGAACTTTTGTGCCTCAAAGGACATTTTTAGGAGGGAAATCACAGGAAATCTTTGCAAATTATATATCTGCTAAGGGATTAATATCCAGAATACTTGTATAAAGAACTTCTATGTCCCAAGAACAAAAGGACAAATGGCCCAATTTAAAAATGGGCAGAGGAACTGAAAAGACATTTACTCAGAAAAGATATACTAATGGCAGATAAGCACATGAAAAAATGTTCAGCATCACTGATCATTAGGGAAATGTCAATCAGTAATCACTTAACACCTGTTAGGATGGTTACTGTTAAACAACCAGAAAAATAACAAGTGTTAACAAGGATTTGAAGAAGTAGAACCCTTGTGCACTCTGAGTGGTAGTGTAAAACAATATAGCCACCATACAGGATAGTATGGGTGGTTTCTGAGAAAAGTAAAAAATTGAATTACTGTATGATTTCGTAATTTCATTTCTGACTGTACATCCAGAAGAATTGAAAGCAGTCTCAAAGATACTATTCACAATAGCCAAAAAGTGCGAACAGCCCCAATGTCCAACAAGTAAATAGAAAAAGAAAAGGTTGTATATACATACAGTAGAATATTATTCAGCTTTAAAAGGAAATGAAATTCTAATTCATGCTACAACATGGGTGAACCACTAAAAACACTGTGCTAAGTGAAGGAAGCCAGTTACAAAAGAACAAATGTAGGATTCCATTATATGAGTTACCTAGAATAGCCAGTTTCAGAGATGGAAAGTATTAGAACCTCTGACATTACTAGGGCCTCATATTTATGAAAATGAAGGCAGTATTTGATGTGTGAATTATTCATTTATATTATTGCCTGGCCCTTACAGGCATTTCAGTCTGTAATCCCTGGAATAAATAAATGTAGGTACATTATTTACTGGTCAATGAAAATGAATGTTGGTCAAAAAAATGATTTGTACTTAACCAAGGAGGTCACTGGGCTCAGTAGCAAATTCTGCTTAATGCTTAGATGAAGTTAACTTATCTGTTACACACTTGATTTCATTTTTATTATCCTCATTTATAGTGTGAAATCCTATAGAAATTAGATACAGCTATTTAAAATATTTTAAGAAGTCTTTCATGGATGTAAATTGTTACTGCTTATTAATGATTCACAATTTACTTCTGCTTAGTGGGTTTTTATACTATACATATTTATACTATATATTTTTCTAATAATATTAGTATTCTACTTAGTATTTACTTCTACCTATTTTTATTTTCCTGACCCTGGCGATCTTTAATAACCTTCACTTTGGGCCGGGCACGGTGGCTCACGCCTGTAATCCCAGCACTTTGGGAGGCCGAGATGGGCGGATCACAAGGTCAGGAGATCCAGACCATCCTGGCTAACACGGTGAAACCCTGTCTCTACTAAAAATACATTTAAAAAAAGAAAATTAGCCAGGTGTGGTGGCGGGCGCCTGTAGTCCCAGCTACATGGGAAGCTGAGGCAGGAGAATGGTGTGAACCCGGGAAGCAGAGCTTGCAGTGAGTGGAGATCTCGCCACTGCACTCCAGCCTGGGCGACAGAGCAAGACTCCGTCTCAAAAAAAAAAATAACCTTCACTTTGGTATGTGTCTTTATAAGTAAATTCAGATATTTAGGCGGTGATCTTCAAACATTTTAGTAAAGTAATTCTTTTCAAACAGTATTACACTCTTAAGGGTAAAGGTTCCCTGCATCCTGTAAGTTGAAGCCTCAAGGGAAGGTGTAATAAATTAATGATTGATTTAAACTTGTATTATCTGCTATGGTAACCATTAATGATATGTGGCTACTTAAATTTAAAGTCTTTAAAATGAAATCAAATTTAAAAATCAGTGACTTGAGCTAGGCGCGGTAGTATGTGCGTGTACTCTCAGGTACTTGGGAGGCTGAGGCAGGAGGCTCTCTTGAGCCCAGGAGTTCAACGCCAACCTGGGCAACATAACAAGACCCCATCTCTTAAGGAACAAAAAATTCAGTGGCTTAATCACACTACCAAGGTCATTTCAAGTACTTAGGTAAGTTGTAGTGGACACTGCTGCTTTAGATCATGGGCTTGAGTCGGAATGCTTGTGTTCAAATTATATTATTTGCTACTGGGTAACATGAAATAAGTCACCTCTCTTCACTTTTTCTCCTGCAGAAAATGTAGATAGTATCATGAGGCTGTTCCGTAGATTAAGTTAATTAGCATATATAAAGTATTTAAGAATAGTATCCAGCACATGCTGCTGTTGTGCTATTATAGGAGCTCTTATACTTCCTCAGAGTTCTAAGTTCAGAAAAATACAGTACAAAACCCACCAATTTACGAAATAATTGCATCAAATTGAACTTTTTTACTGTGCTTGGCATATGAAACAGCTTATGGTTTTTATGACCTAGTTGAAAATACCTTGGTGGCATGTGCCTACAGTCCCAGCTATTCAGAAGGCCAAGGCGGAAGAATCACTTGAGATCAGAGGGTTGAGGCTGCAGTGAGCTATGATTTTGCCACTTGCACGCTAGCCTGGATAACACAGTGAGACCATGTTTCTTAAAAAAAAAATTTATAAATAAAAATGCCTTGTTTTCTTCTAGCGAGTTGAAGAGTTTCTCAGCAAAGATATCAGTTATCTTATTTCAAATAAGAAGGAAGCTAAATTTGCACAGACCTTGGGTCGAATTTCTCCTGTACCAAGTCCAGAATCTGCATATACTGCAGAAACCACTTCACCTCATCCCAGCCATGATGGAAGTTCATTTAAGTCACCAGACACAGTAAGTCTCTTAAATATGCTTTGAGACTCAGAAGGGCTATATCCTGAAGGTCTCATGGTTTTTAATAGCAAGGTGGCAGTAGAGTTTACTTATGTAGAACATTTGCAAAGCCACATTATGTGTGGCTGTCCAGTCCTTAATAAGGTTGCTGCCTTTTAGAAAGGTGGTTTTTGCCTCATAGTTCTTGTGTAATCACACTCTGATTGCTTAGGTATACCCCTGTATTTAGGGATGGCTTGTAGTTTTTAGAATAATTTACAACTAAAAAGTTAACAGCAGATCATTCTTTAAAGAAGAAATAGAAACCTTTTTTATTTTCAGAGCAGAGGTCAGCAAACTCTGGCCCATGGGCCAAATCCAGTCTGTTGCCTTTTTTGTACAGCCTGCAGGTTAAGCATGGTTTTTACATTTTCAAATGGTTGTGTAAAAATATCAAAAGAATATTTTGTGACAAGTAGAAATTTTATGAAATTCAGATTTCATTGTCTATAATGTTTTATTGGAACACAGCCATACCTGTTTGTTTAGGTATAATTTGTAGTTGCTTTTGTGTTTTAGACAAAATTGAATAGTAGTTGTAGAGACCATATGGCCAACAAAGCTTAAAATGTTTACTTTCTGGTCCTTTGCATAAAAAGGTTGCCAGCCCCTATTCTAGAATTATTGAAATCTTATCCCTACCACTCCATGGCCAATAAATTGAAAGATGCAAGGAAGGACAAATTAAATTGATTTAATTGGGTGTGAGATGGGGTAAGATCAAATGAGAGATAAAATGTTTATCTCAGTTTTTAGGTTGAAGTGTAATTAAATTATTATTTTAAAATATCCTCCTTGACTTACCTGTTATAGCCATTTGAAAATTAGGGGAAATGAGGAGAAAACAGAAGAAATGAGTCACAAAAGAGATACCACTTGAAAAAAGAGTTATAATACATAGAAGAAAACAGAAGAAAGAACGGAAAGGAGATCAAGGAAGGACCATGCATTCTCTGAGTTAATGCTTTTTTGGAGCAAGGAGACAATACACTAGCAATTCCAAAATAATTGTTGCTGATGGCATTTCAACTGATTTTCCTAGTAGTTTATTTAAAAAGTGAAGTAACAGCTGGGCGCGGTGGCTCACGCCTGTAATCCCAGCACTTTGGGAGGCTGAGGTAGCTGGATCACGAGGTCAGGAGTTCAAGACCAGCCTGACCAACATAGTGAAACCCCATCTCTACTTAAAAAAAAGTACAAAAATTAGCTGGGCATGATGATGCTTGCCTGTAGTCGCAGATACTTGGGAGCCTGAGGCAGGAGAATTACTTGAACCCGGGAGGCAGAGGTTGCTGCACTCTGGCTTGGGCAACACAGCGAGACTTTATCTCCAAAAAAAAAAGGGTGAAATAGCGTAAAAACAGTATATAAAATTTATTGTTTTTCTTAAATCTGTGATTTAATAGGAACTAAAATGTAAACCAATTAATTGTAAAGAATTCCAGTGAAACCTAGCTATTTTATTTTTCATGTTGAATAGAATTACTACAAAACCAAAGAGGTCATCCCAAAAAGGAAACTTTTAAATATGAGACCCGAAAGTTCTCTTTTCTTAGCTGCTTTACCTTTTTAACCTGTTCTCCAGTTAAGCACTATGTTTTAAAATTTTCTGGTCTTTTTATAGGTGTGTTTAAGCAGAGGAAAATTATTAGTTGAAAAAGCTATCAAGGACCATGTAAGTAGGAACTGTAAAGATTCACATTGTAACATTTTGTTATTAAAAACTCCACTGGAAATTTCAGATATTCTTGAAATTTTCCTTTCCACATTTTTAGGCAAAAGCCTGAATCTCAGCATATATTTTGTTTTACAAAGTACAGAACTTAACTTTTCATGTAGAAACATCCCCATCTTGTGGCCTTTAAAAATATTACTGGAAACTTAAAACTTGCCTTATAGTTTTCATTAAATTACTAAGAACGTGGTTATAAAGTGGGATTGATTTTAGAAATTCTATAGAAAATCTTGATGTCCTGGCTATTGTAACTCTATAGGGTCTGTTACAAATAACCACCTTAGTGACATTAAGCTTCAAATAATTGAATTTTTATTAAAATTTAGCTCATTTTAAATAATTTCCTAGAACAACTGTAAAACTTTTTTTTACAGGATTTTATTCCTTCAAATAGTATATTATCAAATGCCTTATCATGGGGAGTAAAAATTCTTCATATTGATGGTAAGACTTTTATAATTGTTTTTTGACAATATTTGTTGTAAGTGTCCATGTCTGTCCTTTGGTTCCTGATTTTACATAGTGAAATTTTGATAACAAGGATGTCTTAATCTGTTCCCTATTGCTTATAACAGAATACCTGAAACTGGGTAATGTACAAAGAAAAGGAATTTATTTCTTACAGTTACAGAGACTAAGAAGTCCAAGGTCATAGGGCTGCATCTGGTGAGGGCCTTCTTGCTGGTGGAGACTCTACAGAGTCTTGAGGCAGCACAGAGTATCACATGGTGAGGGGCTGAGCATGCCAGCTCAGGTCTCTCTTTTTCTTCTTATAAAGACATCAGGTCCACTCCCATGATAACCCATTAATCCATGAATCCCCTCTTAAAGGCCCCACCTCTCAGTAAATACTGTCCCATTGGGGATTAAATTTCAACATGAGATTTAGAGGAGACAAACATTCAGACCATACCATAAGGGATACATATAATTGTAATTTCTTTATCTAATTTAACTACAAGAAAATATCACTGTTTAACTCGAAGAGTAAAATTGCTAATCTTAAAACCTTCTTTCTTTTAATAAAGACATTAGATACTACATTGAACAAAAGAAAAAAGAGTTGTATTTACTCAAGAAATCAAGTACTTCAGTAAGAGATGGGGTATGTCTTCTTTTTTAATTTTTAAAGTAATTTTCTAAAGTGACCAAGCTTAGTTTATTTATTTATTTATTTGCAGATTTTTCCTCCCAAGTAGAAAATATCCTAGGGGCAAGCCTGTGTATGATGTGCCTGTTTCTGTTATTCAAATAAATCGTGTGTCAATTTAACTTCAGGGTTGTACTCACCAGGTAAAAGTTGTTCCTGGAATAGTGGTATAGGTCACTTCCTCAGCCCCCTTTTGTTACTACTGTTTTGTAACAGGTACTTTTATTCTGTAGAAAAACGCTAAAATCAGCCTATTGTATAAACGTTCCTAATGTAAGTAATGTACTTCTTTTTGGAATATAAATACATACTATCCTTTTCAACTGCTCTGGATGGTGGTATAACAAAATCTTGTTTTAGCATGGCTAACTGGCCTGACCTTGAAATACTTGTTAAGCAACCACATTGGTTGTTAACATTCTGTTAAACCTAATGTTCCCATTATCTTCAGTCGCCTTCATTTTCCTTGTTGCTTCTTTGAAGCATCTATACAGATTCAGGCTTTTTCCATCCTTTACAACAAATACAGTAAAACCTCCCTTGATCCCACATCCCCACCTACCTATTATCTAATCCTTATGTTTCCTCATCCAATGTTCTCAGATCTCTACTTTTATACTTCCCATTCATTTTTCAACCTACAAGGTATAAAACTTCTGACCAGTTTTCCAAATCATTTTGACACTTTTTAAACCCAGTCATACTGGTTTCTCAACTGTTGTCCATTTCTTCCTTAAACTTTTCTATTCTCTTCTGAAATATCATCTCTTAGCTTTCTCCTGGTCTCTTCATATTTCTCAGACCATTCTTTTGTGGCCTGCTTTTCCTTTGTTCAATACTTAAATGACAGGGATCTAAAAATAATGAACTGATAAGAGAGTGTATATAAAGACATGAAGCCATAGCGGGATGGCATATTTTAGAAATCTTGTATAGCATAATACAGCCTGATTGTTGAGTGTGCCAGTGACAAAAGATAAAGCTGGAAAAACCAGCCTGTTAAGATTATAAAGTACCTTGCACTATATAAAGGAGTTAGATTTTTATCTTGGAGGCTTTGGAAAATCATGGGAAGATTATAAATAGAGTAACCTGATTGGATGGTCATTTTGGAAAGATCTTCTAGTTGACAGTAAAGAATGAATTATTTGGCAAGACCGGAAAATGGCTTTTGAACTGTTAAACACTTGTCTTTTGTTTTTTTTGTGTTTTTTTTTTTTTTTTGAGGCAGTCCTTCCCCATCTGTCACACAGGCTGGAGTGCAGTGGTGCCATCTCAGCTCACTTCAACCTCCTCCTCCCGGGCTCAAGCGATCCTCCCACCTCAGCTTCCCAAGTAGCTGGGACTACAGGCATGAGCCACCATACCTGGCTAGTTTTTGTATTTTTTGTAGACGGAGTTTCGCTATGTTGCCCAGGCTGGTCTCAACTCCTGAGCTCAAGCTATCCACCCGCTTCAGCTTCCCAAAGTGCTGAGATTACAGCCATGAGCCACCACCCCCAACCCTCATTTTTTACTGAATACATTTTACAAGATGACCACTTGGTATATGCATGCCTTGTATAAGGATTCATAAAGTTTCTATGTATTTCACATTTTTAATAAATTCACATTTATATCAATAATTTGCAGAAAGCAACAAAGTAGTATTTAAAACTATCAATATTGTCTTATTTATGGGTTAAAAATTTAAATGACTATTTCCAAATTTTCACAAAATGTAAGTGGCTATTCTTATATTGGACTGAGCTAAATGGCATATAAATTATCTCTACCACACTTAGCAGATTGTTTGGATTGTATATAGAAGTAAATGTTTTAAAAAATGTAAACTCATAACGACCTTTATGAACTCTGTGAATACACAAATTGTGTCTGTCTTCATATATATGTGTATATATATCTGCAATAAGTTTCATAGAACAATAGTTACCCTTCTTAATGTGATGGATATTAATATTTCTGTGGTATTTTCATTTCTTAAAAATATTGATCACAACTCTCTGAATTGACTTTATAGCCTACTGATAGGTCACAGTTTGCAGTTTAAAAAGCATTTTGGGGGTTGAGCATGGTGGCTTGGCCTCTAATCCCAGCACTTTGGGAGGCCAAGGTGGGCAGATCACATGAGGTCAGGATACCAGTATGACCAACATGGTGAAACCCCCATCTCTACTAAAAATACAAAAATGCCAGGTGTGGTGGTGGATGCCTGTAATTCCAGCTACTTGGAAGGCTGCGACAGGAGAATCACTTGAATCTGGGAGGCAGAGGTAGCAGTGAGCCAAGATCACCCCACTGCAGTCCAGCCTGGGTGACAGAGTGAGACTCCATAGCAGTGAGCCGAGATCACCCCACTGCAGTCCAGCCTGAGTGACAGAGTGAGACTCCATAGCAGTGAGCTGAGATCACCCCACTGCAGTCCAGCCTGGGGGACAGAGTGAAACTCCGTCTCTAAATAAATAGACAGATAGACAGACGGACAGGTAGGTAGGTAGGTAGGTAGGCAGATAGATAGATAGATAGATAGATAGATAGATAGATAGATAGATAGATAGATAGATAGATAGATAGATAGATAGAAAACTCCATCTCTAAATGGATGGATGGATGGATGGGATGGATGGGATGGATGTCATGTCAGTGATCCTGAGAAATGTTCAAGGCCTGGCTTAAGGCAATAACAGTAGGGGAGGGGAAGATTTGAAAGATACTTAATTGGTTTCAGTGCCTAGTCACTGTCTTGAATCTAGTATTTACTAGATTATTAACATCATAAAGACCAAGTTTAGTCCTCATCATTCCTTCAGTAGTAACATATATTAAATGCCTCCTATGTGCCATGTAGTAGGAGCCCCCATAAAACAGAGAAGATAAAATAGCTATGAAACAGATCTTAATCTTTCTTCTAAAATAAAAACGATAAAAATACCAAATATCTTGATAGTCCAGAATCTGTATCTGGTTGAATTGATTCTCATACTGGAAATTTTTATTTTGGTATATAAGACAGGAATGTTTCTGGAAAATTTTTAGTTTGCCAAGTACTAAAACAAAACCTTTTAGTGAAATTACATTTAAGAGTCTTGAATGGACATGTATAAATTTCAAAATGTTTATTAGGTTCTCATAAATGTTGTTAGTATGTATCTTATTTAAAATGTGATAATTGGATAAATGTATTTTGCTCACTGCTTTATTTAAAGTGCTTTGAGGTTTGGGCTTTTTGTTCTTTTTTTGTTTGTTTACTCAAAACTTTTTTTGTCATTTTTTACATACATGTGCAGGAGGAATATTGGTCATTTTCTTTGATGTCTTTGTTAGGTGAGATGTTTAATCCTATTTTCATAAGATACTGATATGTGTTCCTGTTTCTATTTTCTAGAGAAGTTTTTATAGAATTGTTTTTATTTATTTAAATGTTTGGTAGAATTTACTAGCAAGGCTATCTAGCCCTGAAGTTTTTCTTTGTTGGAAGATTCTTAACTATGAATTCAATTTATTCATTAGATACAGGACAATTCAGGTTATTTTCTCTTCAGTGCATGTTGTTAGTCTGGTTTTCAAGGAATTTGTCCTTTTTTTCTTGGTTGTCAAATTGATGGGCAAAGAGTTGTTTGTAATACTCCCTTATTAACTTTGTAATGTCTATGGGGACTGTAATAATGTCCCCTCTTCCATTCCTGATAATGCTATTTTGTATCTATTCCTTTTTCTCTTAGTCAATCTGGCTAAAGTTTTAGCAGTTATTAATGTTTTCAAGGAAACAGCCTTTAGTGGCATTGATTTTTTTTGTGTGTAGTTTTCTGTTTTCAGTTTTATTGATTTCCACTCTTACCTCTTTTCTTCTGCCTATTTTGGGTTTTTATTTCTATTTGTAGTTTCTTAGGTAAAAAGCTTGAATCATTGATTTGAGACCTTTCTTTTATTTTAATGCTATAAATTTTCTTTAAGCTTTCTTTAGCTGCATCCCACACATTTTACATTGGATTTTTTTTAGAGAAGTTTTTGGTTCCCAGTAAAATTGAATGAAAGGTACAGAGATGTTTTACATACCCCTTGCCCTAACATCCCACACCAGAGTGGTACATTTGTTGTAATCAATGAACTTAACATTGACACATCATCATCATCCACAGTTCATAGTTCACATTTTGGCTTACTCTTGGTGTTGTACACTCTGAGTTTTGACAAGTGTGGTTATGAGTTGTATCCATCATTATAGTATCATACAGAATGTTTCCACTGCCCAAAAAATCTTCCATGTTTATTCCCCCATTCCCTTAAACCCCAGATAACTACTGATGCTTTTACATTCACCATGGTTTTGCCTTTTCCACAGTGCCATGTAATTGGAATCATACAGTGTGTTTCCTTTTTTGATTGGCTTCTTTCACTTGGTAATATTCAATTAAGGTTCCTCCATGTCTTTTCATGGCTTGACAACTTTTTTAAATCTGAGTAATATTTCATTTTCTGTATGCACCACAGTTTATCCATTTACCTACTAAAGGACATCTTGGTTGCTTCCAAGTTCTGGCAGTTTTGCATAAAGCTAATATAGATATCCATGTGCAGGTTTTTTGTGGACATGTTGTCAACTCATTTGGGTAAATAATCAAAGAGTATGATTGCTTCTTCTTATGGTAAGACCAGATTTAGTTTTGTTATAATGTGCCAAACTGTCTTCCAAAGTTGTTGTACCATTTTGCATTCCCACCAGCGATGAATGAGAGTTCCTGTTGCTGATAGGTAGGATTTTCATCTTTATTCAATTAAAAATATTTTAAAATTTCTCTTGTGACTTACTCATTGTCCTGTGGGGTTACTTGGAATTTTATTTGTTTCCAAATAGGAATTTTTCAGCTATCTTTCTGTTACTGATTTCTATTTTAATTCTGTTATAAGCTATATAATGTGCTTTTTATTATTCGTTTTAAAAAATTTATCAGTTACCCAGAATATAGTCTATCTTGGTAAAGAAGAACTTGAAAAAGATGTATATTCTGCTGTGGTTGGGTATTATTTACATGTCAGTTAGATCAGCTTGAGTGATAGCGTTGCTCATGTCTTCTGTATCCGGGATACAGAAATGTTGCTCAGGCCTTGTTCTGTCCACTACTGAGAGAGAGGGATATTGAAATTACCAAGTAAAATTGTGGATTTGTCTAGTTTTCCTTTTAATTCTAGTACAGTTTTGAGTCATTTTGAAGCCCGTTGTTGGATATGTACACATTTAATAATCTTACGTCTTCCTGGTGAATTGACCCTTTTATCCTCTATAATGCTTTCTCTTTTGTCTTTGTTAATTCTTGTTCTGAAGTCTGCTCTCTGATGTAGGCCATTCTGGCTTTATTTTTGTTAGTATTTACATAGTACTTTTTGCAGTCTTTTGCATATTTAAAATGGACTTCTTGCAGATGTTGTCTTTTTCATCAAATTTGGCAATCTGTCTTTTAATTGGTAGTTTAAGTGATTTATACTTAATGTAATTATTGATAATGGATTCAGGTCTGCCAGCTTACTGTTAGTTTTCTGTTGATGCCCTTTGTATTTTATTCCTCTGTTTTCTCCTTTCCTGCCTTCTTTCAGATTGATCTGCCAGCTTTTTAACTCTCTTCATTTTTGTTGTTTTATTTTAGTGCTGCTATAGGATTTACGATATACATGCATAATCTTTCGCAGTCTATCTTGAATTAACATTTACCTTCTTCAAATAAGATGTAGAAGCCTTAAAATAGTCAAGCCATTTTACCTTCCCCACCAACCTTTGTGTCCTAATGTGTATTACATCTTATAATGAAAATGTCACCAGACAATGTTAAACTTTTTGCTTGAAAAAGTCATATTTTAGGGTTGGGCCTGGTGGCTCACACCTGTAATCCCAGCACTTTGGGAGGGCAAGGTGGGTGGATCACTTTAGCTCAGAAGTTCGAGACCAGCCTGGGCAACATGGCATAACCCCATCTCTACAAAAAAATATATAAAAATTAGCCAGGCATGGTGGCATGTGCCTGTAGTCCCACCTGCTTAGGAGGCTGAGGTGGCATGATGGCCTGAGCCCGAGAGGCGGAGGTTGCAGTAATGCGAGAACACGCCACTGCTTGCGACAGAGCAAGACCCTGTCTCTGGGGAAAAAAAAGAAAAAGGAAGTTGCGTTTTAAAGAAAGTAACAGGAGAAAAATAGTCCTATTAACCCAGATGTTAACCTTTCCATTACTCTTCCTTCCTGAAATTACAGGTTTTCTTCGGCTATATCCCTTTAGCCTGAAGAACTTACTTTAGCATGTTTTAGAGCAAATCTGATGGCACAAGGAATTCTCTTAGATATCCTTCATGTGATCATGTCTTTACTGGAAAAAGAATAATTAATTGAAAGTTCTTTATCTCAGCACCTTACTCCGATCCTAAAACTGTCTTCTGGTCTCCATGGATTCTGATGAGAAATCTGTGGTCATTCAAATTGGTGTTCACTTACACGTACTGTATCATTTTTCTCTGGCTGCTTTTAAGACTTTTTTCTTTACCTTTGGTTTCAGAAGTTCGATTGTGCCTACACTTGGTTCACTGAGCTTATTGATTGTGTAAATTTTCACAATATTTCACAATATTGCATAAAGCTAATATAGATACCCATGTGCAGGTTTTTTTGTGGACATGTTGTCAACTCATTTGGGTAAATAACCAAAGAGTATGATTGCTGCTTCTTACGGTAAGACCAGGTTTAGTTTTAGGACTTATTGATTGGAAAGTTTTCAGCTATTACTTTGTTAATTTTTTTCCTTCACCAAACTCTCCCCTCTTTTTCCACCATTCCAGTTGACAATAAAGTTAGACATCTTAATGTTATTCCATAGGTCTCTGTGGCTCTGTTCCTTTTTTTCTTAGTCTTTTTTGTTTCCTCTTTTCTTACAATTGGAGATTTCTATTAATTTGTCTTGAAGTTCACTAATACTTAATTGTGTCATCTATGTTCTGCTATTGAGCCTATCCAGTGAATTTTGTATCTCACTCAGATAGTATATTTTTCAGGCCTATTATTTCTGTTTGGTTCTTATTTGTAGTTTTTCTGCTGAGAACTTGTCTCTTTCCATTCATCTTAAGTGTGTTTACCTTTACTTTTAAAGTCTTTTTCTGATAATTACAGTATCAGGAACATATTGGGGTTAGCATCTGATTGTCCTTTTCTCTCAAAAATTGATAATGTTTTTTCTGGTTTTTTACATGTCAAATTTAAGTTTTGACTGTATACTGGACATTCTAAATGTTGTGTAGGCTCTATATCTATTCGAATAGTCTGGAGAATGCTGATTTTGTTTCTGCCATTGTTTTAGCAGACAGTTATCCCAGTTTTGTTCAGACTGTTCTGTCTTGATTATTGTGGGTGGGGTGGATCTAATTAATCTCAGTTTCAATTTTCAAAGCCTTTGCTATGCTGTGTTGGGTCTCTCCTTAGCATGTGCAACTTGGAGGTAAGCCCTGCACTTGCATGGATTTATACAGGGAATTAGAGATTGCTTTCTCTAACTTGCTCTTTTCATGAATCAATCTCTAGCTCACAGTGGCCTCTTTCCCAGGTCTTCTAGTCAGAAAGTGAGGGTTTCTCAGTGTTAGCTTAAGCTTGTTCTACCTTTACAATCTCAACTTCCTTATTGGGACCCACCCTCAGGGTAGAACTGTGGGAGAAAAGAAAATAATATAGGGATTCTCTTGGTATTTTTGGACCACTTGAACCTCATTCCTGGTTTTTCCAGCCAGAAAGATAGGAGTTTTAGCTGCTGGCTCTGCCACTGCTGCTAACTCCATGACTGAAGGTTCCAGTTTTGACTTCCTTCCACAATCTGCCTGCTTATTTTACTTTTCATTCTTCAGGTGGTCGCTTATTCAGTGTTGTCCAGAATTTCTAGTTGTAATCAGTAGAGTTGATTATCCATCTTGGACATACTGAATCTTTGCCTAAATTGACAGACTAATAAATGTTGACTAATTGCTTTATTCACTCTAACACAAATATTTTACTGAATAAGGGCATAAAAATAACATGACTTTAAAAAAAAAATTTCATTAACTACCTTTTCATTATTAGTTGATTTCTTTTTATGAAGTCAAGATCAGTTATAGCTAGAATGCAAGGTGCTTATTGAGTGTATTGTAAAACATTTAAAAACTAGTTTTATTTAACAAAGAATAATCCTTCTTTGATATAGTACTTTTCGGCATGATTTTTTTTTATCTTGAAGATATTGAGCAATTGCAGTTGCTGTTTTAACTGTACTTTCAAAGCCAATCTTTTCACTATGTGTATATATATTTTTTTTTAGGGGAAAAGAGTTGGAGCTGGTGCACAAAAAACAAGAAGTAAGTACTTTGATATCTTTAAGTGTATTTGGTTTGCATTTGAAAAATCATAAAAGATCTTCTAAAATCATGTAAACCACCCTCTAAATGACTTGTTCATAACTTTCTTGGTCTTTATAGAACATAGATCCTTGTTGAAGTTTGGTGAAGCCTGTGGACCGCATTCTCAGAATAATGTTTTTTTAAAACGTTTCTTTTAAAGATCACTAGACTACCAAGAAAATGAATTACATTAAAATGTAGTTACCAAAATAGTTTTTAATTATGAAATAATGTGATAACTTGCTTTTTATTACACAGAACAGGTTCTAGCAGTGAATCTAATTGCTGTCATTTTGAATTGATAAGCGTAAACAATGCTGTGAGATATCTACTCAAGCAATTCATAACTGATGAAAGTCTGTGCTGTTTTTATTAGCATCAAAGTCGCAGGTACTGCGAATACTGTGATGCTACATTTATAATTGGAGGAAATGCTAAATTGCAGTTTGAGGTTAGTGAAAACAATAGTGTAGTTTTTCTCCTGTTCTAATTTATGACCCTCCTGAATCCTGTTCATTTGAGGGTTCCATTCAGTTTAAGAATCTCAGAATATAGAGAGAGCTTCTGTTATTTTTGGAAATGAGGTGGTAATGGAAGTACCTCATCTGAGGCTTAAAACTTTAAAGTGGATACATGGTTTTTTGTTTGGAGGGTTTTGTTTTGTTTTGCCATAGTAGTTTTATTTAAAAAAAAAAAAAAAAAAAAACTCCTGGATTTGCAAGTATCTAATATGTTTTCTATGTTCTCAAGCAGGAAGACTGAAAAAGCCTTTTGTAAAGGTGGAAGATATGAGCCAGTAAGTATCTAAGTCCAATCTGTATGATTTAAGTGCAGTACTAAAGGGGAAAATCACCTAAATAATTAGGCTAGCTCGATTAGTACTGTTAGGTTCCTTTGTGTTTGATTTATATTATGCTAACGTGCTTGCGGCACAAGTTAATGAAAGTAACATTAATTCATTTATGCTCAAGGACTAAATTTAGTTTCAGTATGTTGTAGATATCCCTGAAATAGCTGGTTTAGAAAAATCATGACACTATTTTTTAGTATTTAAATTATTCTCTGGCTAAATGCAGTACCAGATGATTTAGAACTACTGAAAGATTACGCCTACATTTGCAAAAAAGAAATTATTAGATGCTATTTAGAAATAGAAAATCTAAGTATAACATCTCACGTGGTTGCTTTCCAAAACTCACTCTGAAGTACTGTAGGGTAGTCTTTTTGTTGTTGTTTGTTTTGATTTTTTGAGATGGAATCTTGCTCTGTCACCCAGGCTAGAGTGCAGTGGCACAGTCTCGGCTCACTGCAACATTCACCCCACCCCCGGTTCAAGCAATTCTCCTGCCTCAGCCTCCCAAGTAGCTGGGATTGCAGGTGTACGCCACCATGCCCAGCTGATTTTTGTATTTTTAGTAGAGATGAGGTTTAACCATATTGGCCAGGCTAGTCTCTAACTCTTGACGTCAAGTGATCCTCCTGCCTCAGCCTCCCGAAGTGCGGGGATTACAGGTGTGAGCCACTGCGCCCAGCCATGTGGGATAATCTTAATGAAGACCTCAGATATAAATAGGCCTGCCATGAGAGAATTAGATTACTTTCTTTTTTCTTTCTACTTACTAATTTAGACATGTGTGGTTAATTCTCTTGGGTATTCACACTGAGGTGACAAAAGTGTATTGAAAACTGCTTTTTATGAAATGTGTTCCTGTGAAGAAAAAAGTACAATTCAAAAAGAGGCCTAGAAAAGACACTAGTATACGAAAGGATAGCCCATGTTCATGAATTGGAAGACATAATATTGTTAAGATGTTAATACCACCCAAAGTGATCTACAGATTCAGTGCAATACCTATCAAAATTTCAATGATGGTTTTTGCAGAAATAGTAAAAATGTATCCTAGAATTCATACGGGATTGTAACAGATGCAGGATACCTGAGACAGTCATTAAAAAGAACAACAAAGGCCAGGTATGGTGGCTTACGGCTGTAATCCTACCACTTTGGGAGGCCGAGGCAGGCAGATCGAGACCATCCTGGCTAATACGGTGAAACCTCGTCCACCGTCTCTACTAAAAATACAAAATATTAGCTGGGCGTGGTGACAGGCGCCTGTAGTCCCACCTACTCAGGAGGCCGAGGCAGGAGAATGGCATGAACCCTGGAGGCAGAGCTTGCAGTGAGCCAAGATCACGCCACTACCCTCCAGCCTGGGGGACAGAGTGAGACTCCGTCTCAAAAAAAAAAAAAAACAACAACAAAATAAGAGGTCTCTCACTTCCTGATTTCAAAACTTACTGTAGTGCTACAGAAATCAGAACAATTTGGTATTAGAATAAAGACATAAACCAATGGAATAGAATAGAAAGCCTAGAAATAAACCATCACACATATGGCCAAATGGTTTTCAACAAGGGTATGAAGATCATTTAATGCAGAAAGGACAACATTTTTAACAGCGTTGAGAAAACTAGATATACACATGCAAAAGAATGGCATTGGACTCCTACCTTACATCATATTCAAAAGTTAACTCAAAATGGACCAAAGACCTAAAATAGTAAAACTCTTGGAGAGAACATAGGGGAAAAGCTTCATGACATTGGATTTGCAGTGCTTTACTGGATATGACACCAAAAACACAGATAACAAAAGATAAAATAATTAAATTGGACCGTATCAAAAATACAAATTTCTATACCTAAAGGGATATATAACATTCCAAAGAGTGGAAGAAGATACTGCAAGTCATATATCTATTTTTTTTTTTTTTCAGCTTTCTCAGGTTAAACAAGTCATATATCTAATAAGAGTGTTAATATCTGGAATATATAAAGAATTACAACTCAACAACAAAACAACCCAGTTTTAAAAATAGGCAAAGCGCTGAATATAGACATTTCTCCAGAGATGATACACAAATAGCCAATAAGCATATGAAAAGATGCTCAACATTACTAATCATTAGGGAATTGCAAATCTAAACCACAGTGAGATGCCACTTTACATTATTTAGGATGGCTACTATTAAAAACTCCACAGCAGCCAAAAAGTGAAAGTAGTCCAAGTCCATCAGCAAATTAATGGATAAATAATATGTGGGATGTGTGTACACACACTCAATGGAATATTATTCAGCCTTAAAAAGGAAGGAAATTCTGATACATGCAACATGAATAAACCTTTTAAGACATGCTAAGTGAAATAAGACGAAAAATACTGCATGGTTCCACTCATGAAGCACCTACATAAGTCAAATTGATAACAAGAAATAGAATGGTGGTTGTCAGGGGATATGGAGAAAAGGGTATTTGGGAAGTTACTGTTTGATGGGTACAGAGTTTCAGTTTTTGCAAGATGAAAATATGTCATCTTACAAAAGATGGATAGTAGCAGTGATGGTAACACAGCAATTGTGAATACTTAATGCAACTGAATTGTACCACAATTTTTAAAATGTGTAAGTGTTAAAAATATTAGGCCTGAAATTGATTTTTTGAAGGGAAGCCTAAGTAATTTCTGTTGTTTATTTCAGATTCCAGCTGAATTATATGATTTCGAAATACAAAACTTTAAAACTTTTTTTCTTTAATCATAAAGAAGCTCATGTATTTGTCTTTCTATTCTTTTAGACTTTATAGGCCATTTTATCTTCAGCTGACCAATATGCCTTTTATAAATTATTCTATTCAGAAGCCCTGCAGTCCATTTGATGTAGACAAGCCATCTAGTATGCAAAAGCAAACTCAGGTTAAACTAAGGTTGGTTTGAATCTTTACTTTTAGAAGGAATATTGAGAATTTCATCTCAACTTTTCTTTGTAAAGATTTGAAATAGTTTGGTTTATGCCATAATGGTTGTTTGTGTTTGTAATTACTATTCTGATTACTTTTCCCTCTGTATAAGTCTGAATCTGTCTAGCTGGAGGTGGGGAGGGTCTTAAAATATTTGTAAATGAAACTGTAGTTTATCTTGAATGATCTGAAATATTCTCCAGATTATTCATTAAATCTTTAGTTTGCTTCTCAATATAGTATAAAGAAATATGATTAAAAGTACTTGCTGAGCGGGGCGCGGTGGCTCAAGCCTGTAATCCCAGCACTTTGGGAGGCTGAGACCGGCGGATCACGAGGTCAGGAGATCGAGACCAACCTGGCTAACACAGTGAAACCCCGTCTCTACTAAAAATACAAAAAAAAAATTAGCCGGGCGTGGTGGCGGGCGCCTGTAGTCCCAGCTACTCCGGAGGCTGAGGCAGGAGAATGGCGTAAACCCAGGAGGCGGAGCTTGCAGTGAGCCGAGATCGCGCCACTGCACTCCAGCCCGGGCTACAGAGCAAGACTCCGTCTCAAAAAAAAAAAAAAGTACTTGCTGATATAAGTATCTGCAAATTACACAGATTCTGTGTGTGATAGTTTAAGACAATAAAGTTTAAAAGTTATTCCTTAGGTTCAGCAGTTAATTCTTTACCATGTATTTCTGTCATCAGAATCCAAACGGATGGCGATAAGTATGGTGGAACCTCAGTTCAACTCCAGTTGAAAGAGAAGAAGAAAAAAGGATACTGCGAATGTTGCTTGCAGAAATATGAAGATCTAGAAACTGTAAATGAGATTTTATATTTTGGGGGCTTGTTTCAAAAACTCTAATACTTGTGTTTTAAATTTTAGCTTGTTATTCTGATGGAGATATTTTACGTTTTAATAACTCAAGGGAGGAAATGAGTATTGAAAATGAATTTTATTTATTCAACAAATACTGAACATCTACTACCTACTGATGACTACTCTGGGCAAACAGCATTGAACAAAACAGACTTAATTTTTTACCCTTGTGAAGATTATATTCTGTAGGGTGGGGGTGGGGTAGGGGTGGAGATAGGTAACCACAGGATAAAAGAGTAATAAAAATGTATACAGAAAATATTAGATCAGCGCTATGAAAAAACAGAACATAGGAATGGAGATGTTGCTATTTAGCCTAGACAAGGAACACCTAACTGATAAGGTGACATTTGAGTAGAGACCTGAGAGAAGTGAAGTAATAAGACCTGGATATTGAGATAAGCAAGTGCAAAAGTCCCAATTTAAAATGATTGATGGGACCAAGGGATAGATACTGGTAGTCCAGACTAAGTGGTAGTAGAAGTGCTGAAACGTGGTCAGATTGTGGGTTTGTTTTAAAGGTGGGACCAAGAGGATTTGCCAATGGATTGGATGTTGCAAGTAAGTGAAAATGGTAGTCAAGGGTTACTATAGTATTTTGAACCTTAGCAATTAAAAAGTGAGCTTATTATTTATAATGGGAAAAGAAGAGTTGAAAGAAGTAAAGACCATTGAGGTAGCAGAAAGAAATGGAAGAGTTGGAAGGGGTAGGGTATATAGGGTGAAAATGGGGGAACTAGTATAGTTTGCAAACTGATGAAAAGAGCAAGAGCTGTGGATTCAGGCTGCCAGGTTTGAATCCTGGCTTCCTGGCTGTGTGACCTTGGACAGTGGCACGCAGTAATTGCTTGTTGTCAGCTGTTATTTGAATTATTTTTTATGTAGTAGGTTTGTTTTAGTGTTTGGTTTGGTTTTGGTAGAAGATGGTGGGAAAGTTAAGGGGAAAGAATACTTGAACATATCTGTCTTCAGACTCTGAATTGAAGTTTGTTTTATAAACCAAAATATATTAGTGTTTTGTGTCAGTTTTTTTTTTGTTTTGTTTTTATGTAATAAATGAGAAAACTATGGTTAGTCTAAAATTGCTTTTAATCAGAAGCTAAAGTATCTCAGAAATATTTCCCCTTCCTGAAAATCATTTTGAAAATTAAAATTACAGATTGGTTCTGAAGATTTACTTGGCTGGTGTAGCAACAAAATACTCTAGAATGGACGCTTAATTTGGTGCTCAGAAAATGTCGAGGCTAAAAAATGAAAAAAATTGTTCAATGGTTTCCACAAAGAAGGAGAATTAGTGAAAGCAGATGTTGAGATTAGAGGTTGGGATTGAAATTTAAGGTCATGTTTTTACAGTTTTCATTTATGTGTCTTAGTTGCTAAGAGTAAAGAAGTATTTTTTGGATGTTAGGTTTCGTAATTATTCAATTCCACTTGTATCAAGGGATTCAATTAACAAATATTTTTGAGTACTGGAGAAAAAGCAACAGATAAGGTGGACATCCCTACCCTTATGCACCTTATGGTCTGGCAGAGTAGATACAAAATATGTATTTGCAAGTGTGATGAGTTTCACAAAAGTATGAAGGCAATGGGAATAAATAATGAGGTTATTTAACCTAGAATTAGGGTCTCAAAAGGCCTAACCGGACACAAGTGACTTTTAAATTAAGACTGTAAGGATGAATAAGAAGAACTTAATGGAAATTAGAGGGGAACTAAATAAAAGTTGGAATTTTTCCTTCCCAGAACATTAGTAGACTGAATCTGAGCTTACAGATTTGATGTTTCCTTTTAAATTTTAATAATTGCTTGTTTTTATTGCTGGGCATATATAATTTGTAAATGGTAAAGTTTGCAAGGAAGGAAGGAATACACGTATATTCCAGGATACATTGTGGCTTTTTGTGACCAATGGAGAATTTAGTTTTTGGAAATGTAATCAAATCATCAAAATGTAAAATTGCATGAAACTAGGGAAATAGAAATTAGGTTCTTTCATGGTCATCTAGAGGCAAGCTTCTAAGTACAATTCCCTTCCTGATCAGCTGACAGACACATAATAAAGTTAGGCTGGAGATTCCACCTATTTACAAGGAACTTTGTTTGCTGCGAATTTTATCTCACTATGCTGTGAACTTGTTTACTTTTGGTTTTGACCGCTCTTTTTGTTTTGTTTTTTGGTTTTTGTTTGAGATGGAGTCTTGCTCTGTCACGCAGGCTGGAGTACAGTGATGCAATCTCAGCTCACTGTAACCTCCACCTCCCGGGTTCCAGAGATTCTCCTGCCTCAGCCTCTTTGGTAGTTGGGACTAGAAGCATGCACCACCATGCCTGGCTAATTTTTGTATTTTTAGTAGAGACGGGATTTCACCATGTTGGCCAGGCTAGTCTTGAACTCCAGACCTCAGGTGATCCACCATCCTTGGCTTCCCAATGTGCTAGGACTATAGGCGTGAGGCACTGTGCCTGGTGGTTTTGACTACTCTTCAGAATGAGAGTAACTTCTGTATATTCTGTTACGAGCACTGGGTAATTGAGATCATTTGTTTTGTTGTTCATTCTCAAATGTGTTCTTCAATTATGAATCTTGACTTTTTTAGTACTTCACAGCATTTAATGTGGTTCATGTGTTTAATCTACTTTCTGGATTCTTTTATGTTAACTTACATTTCAATTATTTATTACTCTGTAAGCCCTGCCTTACTTGGTAATAAATGCTTGAAGACAAAGTAATAGAGGGAAACGTGTTTTCCAAAATGTTACTGTTATATCTCTCTGTCTATATCTTTTCTTTTTTTCTTTTCTTTTTGGCTTGAGTACAGTGGTGCCATCTCAGCTCACTGCAACCTCCACCTCCTGGGATCAAATGATTCTCCTGCCTCAGCCTCCCAAGTAGCTGGGAATACAGGCATGTGCCACCACGCCCAGCTGTATTTTTGTATTTTTAGGAGAAACAGGGTTTCACCATGTTGGCCAAGCTGGTTTCAAACTCCTGACCTCAGGTGACCCGCCCACCTCGGCCTCCCAAAGTGCTGGGATTACAGGCATGAGCCACTGCGCCCAACCTGTGTCTTCGTTTTCTGATATAGCTCATTCTTTTCAGTTCCGTTGTAACTACAAATTAGTATTTCTTTTCTCACTGAAAACTAAAAACCAAAGTAGTTTTACTGGCTTCTCAAAAGTGACTTTATTTTATTTTATTTTATTTTATTTTAAATGTCTTTTGAAGTCTAGTAAAGGGTATTATCTTTGGAGCAGTTATTGGAAACCTAATTTTAGGGGCATGAGAATGTTAGAAAACCTTAATTTAAAAGGCATCTCTTGGTTTTAAAATACAGTTTTTTGATATATGTTTTTAATTTTGTTTTAGCACCTTCTAAGTGAGCAACACAGAAACTTTGCACAGAGTAACCAGTATCAAGTTGTTGATGATATTGTATCTAAGTTAGTTTTTGACTTTGTGGAATATGAAAAGGACACACCTAAAAAGAAAAGGTAATTAGTTTTATCAACCTAAGTTTAAAATTCTAGAAGGCCGGGGGTGGTGGCTTATGCCTGTAATCCCAGCACTTTGGGAGGGTGAAGCAGGTGGATCACCCGAGGTCAGGAGTTTGAGACCAGCCTGGCCAACGTGGCGAAACCCTGTCTCTACTAAAAAAATTACAAAAATTAGCCAGGTGTGGTGATGTGCGCCTGTAATGCCAGCTACTCAGGAGGCTGAGGCAGAAGAATCACTTGAAACCTGGGAGGCAGAGGTTGCAGTGAGCCAAGATTGCACCACTGCACTCCAGCCTGGGTGACAGTGAGACTCTGTCTCAAAAATAAACAAATAAATAATACTAGAATATTAAACTATTTTATTAAACTAAAAATAAACACAGTTTGCCTTCTATTTTCTTAGAAGGAATATGTATTTTCAGGATGTAAATATGGTTAAAAGACGGTAACTTCTTCCCTTCCCTCTTCCCTACTATCAAAGATCCTTACCTTAGACTACTTTTAGTTCCATTCTTTTTAAATTTTCTTTTTATCTAAAATTTTTCCTTTTTCAAATTTTTTGTTTTATTTTGAGATGGTCTCGCTCTATCACCCAGGCTGGAGTGAAGTTGTGTAATCTTGGCTCACTGCAACCTCCACCTCCCACACACAAGAGATTCTCATGCCTCAGCCTCCTGAGTAGTTGGGATTACAGGCATGTGCCACTACACCCCACTAATTAGTCTCATTCTTGACATTGTAGTTTAGAAGGAGTTGGCAGACTTTTCCTGTAAAGAGCCAGATAGTTGATATTTTAGGTTTTGTGAACTGTCAGATCTATGTTACAACTAACTAGCTTTTTTGTACAATAGATATGGCTGTATTTTGATACAATTTTATTTACAAAAATAGACTGAAGGCTAGAGAACCATAAAGTTTACCATTTACTCAGACTAAAAAGTTTTATTGAACTTTTAGGTAATATTAAGGAGTTTTAAGAAACCTTCCTCCACTTGCCTCTTAGGTCTTTGTATTTTCACTAACTATCTTTGCCTAAACCTTATGATGGGTATATTTACTAAAGGTACTGACAGGACTTTTAAGTGTGAATACAGTACTGCTCAATGTACACTAACTGCACATAGACAAAAATTGTCCTGATTAGATTATTCCCATAAACTTAAAAAGAAATGCTTTCATATGGATATACCCTAGAGGTGGTGATAACTCATTAAGTTAGTCTTTATTCTTAGACTAATCTTATTTAAGGCATAAAGAAGATTAGAAATGTGATACCAAGATGCAGCTTCTGAAAATTAACTAGGAAGTTTTTTACTTCAGGTAGAACAGTTCTTAAATCCCATATTTCTGTGACATTCAGAATGGTTTCATGACTGACTGAATGTGGATTTGAAGAGGAGGCGTATTTCCAAATATTAAAACTATGTGGGCTACTGTGGCTGGGCAGGGTGTCTCACACCTGTAGTCCCAGAATTTCGAGAGGCCGAGCGGGCAGATCACTTGAGGCCAGGAGTTCTAGACCAGCCTAGCCAACGCAGTGAAAGCCCATCTCCACTGAAAAAAAAAAAATTAGCTGTGGCACATGCCTGTAGTTCCAACTACTTAGGAGGATTAGGCACAAGAATCACTTGAACCTAAGAAGGGGAAGTTGCAGTGAGCTGAGATCAGGCCACTGCACTCCAGCCTGGTTGACAGAGAGACTCTGTCTCAAAAAAAAAAAAAAACCTATGCAGACTACTCTAAGAACTCATAATTCCTTAAAAATTCTGTCTGTAGCAAAATTCTGAGCTAGTACTGGTTGTTCCTTGATGGTCTTATTTTTATGTGCACTAATTTTACTTCTGTGGGCAAGTCTCCTAAACATCTTGGACTTAAAAGCCAGGTTAGACTAGTTTTCTTTTTTTTTTTTTTTTTTTTTTTTTACATTTTTTATTGCCTATTTGTTCAAAGAGAATTGTAAGTAAATGTATGAACAAGATAAACAAAAAAGAACATTCTGGTTGAAGGGGCAGGAAAAAATGTATCATTTCTCACACTGTGACATGCGGGACATAAAATGTAATTGGTGAGCTATTAACTTTTTCTCTAATGGTATATTATTTAGGGTTGTCTAATACAAACTGGCATTTCAGGGATATCAAGATGCTCCATGAAGAAAATAATTTTAGGTCAAATGTGTTTGAAGCTCAAAAGTTACAACATTGTCACCTTTGAAAGTATAAAGATACTGTTTCTAGCTCACTTTGATATTAAATATTCTTAAATATAAATTTAAAATATATGTTTTTGCCATAGGTTTCTCAGTAAATATTCTCCACATTGCTAAGTAAAATGAAGAGTAAAATGTGCATTAATGTAAATCAAAGCACAGAAGTTATGAAATTGTTCAGAATAATGAAAGCAAAATTAGGGGCAGACTCAGATCCCTTTACTATCATCTTTCTTTCATTTACATGATTAAAGTAATTTTAAATGTCAAAATTCAGGATATTGGTTATCTCTGGGAGGGAGGCAAGGAATGTAGAGTAGAAGAGAGGCACCCTAGAGTTTTCAGCTATATCTGAAAAGTGGTATTACTTTAAAAACAGCTCATGTTAATTTGGCAAAATGTTAAGATGTTTGTATTTTTGTAAAATTTCCTAAGTTAAATAGGTTTCTTAACGATTATATAATGTTTTTACTAATTTAATTTCTAACTACTCAGGAATTTTTGATAGCAATTATTTTAATATTTTTCTTTTATTTTTCCTACAAAGAATAAAATACAGTGTTGGATCCCTTTCTCCTGTTTCTGCAAATGTCCTGAAAAAGACTGAACAAAAGGAAAAAGTGGAATACCAACATATTTCTCAGAAAGATTGCCGGGAAGATGATATAACGGTGATGGAGCAGAATTTCCTGTATAAAGAGACCCAGGAAACTGAAAAAGAGATTCTGTTTATTTCAGAGCCCATCCCCTACCCTTCAAATGAATTAAGAGGGCTTAATGAGAAAACGACTAATAAATGTTCCATGTTAAGTGCAGCTGAAGATGACGTAAGACAGAGTTTTACACAGCTACCTCTACATAGAAACAAACAGGAATGCATTCTTGACATTTCCGAACACACGTTAAGTGAAAATGACTTAGAAGAACTAAGGGCAGATCACTATAAATGTAACATAAAGGCATCTGTACATGTTTCTGATTTCAGTACAGATAATAGTGCATCTCAACCAAAACAAAAGTCAGATATTATGCTTTTTCCAGCAAAGGATCTCAAGGAAAAGGACCTTCATTCAATATTTACTCATGATTCTGGTCTGATAACAATAAACAGTTCACAAGAGCACCTAACTGTTCAGGCAAAGGCTCCATCCCATACTCCTCCTGAGGAACCCAATGAATGTGACATCAAGAATATGGATAGTTTACCTTCTGGTAAAATACATCGAAAAGTGAAAATATTATTAGGAAGAAATAGAAAAGAAAATCTGGAACCAAATGCTGAATTTGATAAAAGAACTGAATTTATTACACAAGAAGAAAACAGAATTTGTAGTTCACCAGTACAATCTTTACTAGACTTGTTTCAGACTAGTGAAGAGAAATCAGAATTTTTGGGTTTCACAAGCTACACGGAAAACAGTGGTATATGCAGTGTTTTAGATATTTGGGAAGAGGAAAATTCAAATAATCTGTTAACAGCGTTTTTCTCGTCCCCTTCAACTTCTACATTTACTGGCTTTTAGACTTTAAAAAATGCATACTTTTCAGAAGTGAGAAGGATCATATTCTTGAAATTTTTATAAATATGTATGGAAATTTTTTTTACCAGCTTTGTTTACAGAACCAAATGTAAATATTAAAAATAAACGTTTGCAATTTTCTACAGAATTGAATGACTGTTACAGAAAAATTACAGTATAAACTTGTGACTGGTCTTATTTTACATAATATATATGTTCATAATTGTTTCCTGAGTATTACAGTGAATAATAATTTGCTTGGTCACTGAAAACCACCAGTAAAGTGAAATTTGGGGAATATCAAACTTAGCATTATACATTTGGATATTCTAGTTGTATTGTAAATTTAAAAAGATTATCAGGATAGGATGACCTTGCCTTGAAAAACCTGAATTTCATACAAAAAGGGAAAATACATTTCAATGTTTGAATTCTGGAAATCATCAGAAATATTGACACTTGAGGGTCACTGGTGGACCATGCTAGTATTTAGGTGCTCAGTAATTAGATTATGTATAGTGGTAGCCAGAAGTCATGAAGGAAAGACTTAACCAGGCTACCAAGTGGAATATAATTTGTCTGCTATTTTTAATTATTTACCTTTGTAAATAACTTTGAGAATATTCAAAAGTTGACTCTCTGGTGGCTCACCCCTGTAATCCCAGCACTTTGGGAGGCCAATGCAGGTGGATCACAAGGTCAGAAGATCAAGACCATTCTGGCCAACATAGTGAAACCCTGTCTACTAAAAATATAGAAAATTAGCTGGGCAAGGTGGCATGTGCTTGTAGTCCCACCTGTTCCCTCCAAAGGCGGAGAATTGCTTGAACCTGGGAAGTGGAAGTTGCAGTGAGCCGAGATCGCACCACTGTACTCCAGCCTGGGTGACAGAGTGAGACTCCAACTCAAAAAAGAAAAAGATTACCCCCTAATTTGGTAGGAGATGAGAAAGAAAAGGATGGCATTGAATTACAGATACAGTGGTATATACAAGAATTTGGGATATATACAAGGATTGGCTTGATCTGGCACTGACAACCACTTGGAGAAAGAAAATTCAAATATAAGAAATGTCTATTTGAATCTGTGGATATAAGGCATTTGCCTTTGAGTATGTTCTTATAGGAGTAAGACTACCTACCACCAGTGACATTCAGTTGGTGCTATTGCATAGTACATGAATATATTGTCACTAAAAATTAGGTTACTAGTCATAATTTTTTTTGAAATATATGATTCTCAGTATAGGACTAGTTCATATGCTTGTCCTGCATATATTTGACTGTTTGGGCAGCATCAATGAATACTGGCTTTTTAACACCTGTATTTTTCATACCAGTACCTTAAGTAGGCTCAATAAGAGTCTTTACAGTGCATACATGCAAACCCTGTTTCCATTGTAAATTATTCCATTTTCTGTCACAAATACATGTATGTATGTGTAAATATCAGGTTTTGTAGACAACCTTTGAAAAATCTAAATGGAACTTGGGAAATTATTTGTAGGTTTATTTCCCTTCAATTATCAGTGTTCCCCAAATTTTTCAAATAACTAAAAGGCATGTAAAGTCACTCTATGATCCTTTGACTTTAAGAGTAACAGTGTCTGGCTGGGTGTGGTGGGTTACGCCTGTAATCCCAGCACTTTGAGAGGCCAAGGCAGGCGGATCACGAGGTCAGGAGATCGAGACCGTCCTGGCCAACATGACGAAACCCTGTCTCTACTAAACTACAAAAAATTCGCTGGGCATAGTGGTGCGCTCCTGTAATCCCAGCTACTTGGGAGGCTGAGGCAGGAGAATTGCTTGAACCCCGGAGACAGAGATTGCAGTGAGCTGAGATTGCGCCACCACACTCCAGCTTGGTGACAGAGCGAGACTCCATCTCAAAAAAAAAAGTAACTTCAATTTGCAGTGGTACTCTGGGCATCATTTTACATTAAGTTATTAAGGAGAGAAAGTCTGAACCCTTCAGTAAAACTTGTTAAACTATTTTGACACTGAACATTGAACTTTTAGAACACCACACAGTCTTCATAATGAGTATTCAGCTTTTTTCAAGTGCTTAAATTTCAGTTTATTTGGAATAATTTCAGTTTACTTGGGCTACCACATACAGTTGGTTTGGATTGTGCTGTGCAGCTATGCAGATGGGCACCCAGCCAATGAGATGAAGGCAGGTTATTTGCAGCAAGTAGTGTGTCCTGGCAATGAGATGCATCTACCTAGAGGTAGGGGTAGTTTTTCCTAATTTTTACCAAGCCACAGCCAAGGTAATGTTTACCCAGAAGGTGCTTTGCCTTTTTGTTTTTCTTTGTTTTGTTGTTTTTTGATACTAGGTCTCTCTTGTCCAGGCCTGGTTACCATGGTGCAATCAGCCTATCGTGGCCTCAGACTCCTGGGCTTAGCCGGGCACTGGCTCATGCCTGTCATCCCAGTACTTTGGGAAGCTGAGATAGGAGGATCACTTGTGATCAGGAGTTCAAGGTGAGCCTGGGCAGCATAGCTAAACTTTGTTTTTATTAAAAATTAAAAAATAAAAATAAATTAAAAAAAAAATTGCAGGGTTTGGTGGCACATGCCTGTAGCCCCAGCTACTCAGGTGGCTGACATGGGAGGATCCTTGACTTGAGCACAGTTCTTTTTCTTTCTTTTTTTTTTTTTTTTTTTGAGTGATGGGTTTTTTGGTGTGTTGTCTAGGCTGGTCTCAAACACCTAACCATAAGTGATCCTAATTCTCTAATAGCACTTATGGTTTAGTTCCCCGATTTGTTCACAAAAGGACACTTAATCTTTAATGTAGCAAGGTATCTTGAAAAATAGGAATTTTCAGAGATCATCACCAGGGTAGACAGGAAACTTGGTTTACTTGATAGAAAGTGACCTGCATTGCCAAAGTTGTCCAGACAACAAATCCCCAGCAAGCACGGGATAAAGTAGAATTCTGTAATTTCAAGAGTACCGAAGTTAAAAGATGTTAGGAAAGAAAAGAAACAGGCACCCTAATTAACTTTCATCTAAAGGTAACAGTCTAGCATTCAAAGTTGATGATTCTATATTTCTAGGGGTGGTCAGAGCAGCAGCAGTGAAGACAGTTTGATACTGTGACTCAAAAATGAATGTTTATTTTTCTAAGATATACAAGTACACAGTTGTAGCAAAAGGTGTATTTCACAAAAATCATTATCATTGGTTTTTGAAGCCAATGACCTTTCTGCATGCATAGTTTAGTATTACGTCTAATATTAGAATAATTTGTGGAATCATACATAGATGCTTCTGATTCTAAAATTTGCAATTTGTATCTATAATGAATGTGCAAGCAAAATATATATGTTTAAAAGACGAATAGAAAACAAAGAATTTTATGTGTAAAACTTTGACCTAAAACCATTGAATTTGAACCCTTATTTCTAGAAATGTAAGATTATTCTGTGTTATCAGATAGAATTTTGGGGTTTTGGGGGTTTTTTTAAAGCACTTAGTTGCCAGGATGGATGTGTAATTCTGTTCTGCCATCTAAAGGATATATTAAAATACTCTAGGTTAATAAATGTTATTTAAATATTACCAGCTTCTCTAAATGCAGTTTTGATTATGAGAACAAAGACAGTTTTATGTTACATTTCAATCAGAAATTATTCCAGTGCTGTTTCATTAATAAAGTGAAATGTAAGAATGATAGGCTTCTTCCTATAAGAGATGGAAAGGTTCTTAAGCATAATAATAAATGTAAAGTAAACCTCAATCTTAAAACCATGAGTTTGCCAAGTAAAAAAGGTCTAAACAATGCCAGTCACAGAGTGGTATGCTCAAGAGAAATTAATTGGAGCCAGTTACCCTAGGTAACAACCACAATGGACTTGCCTGTATTAAAGTTGTGCTATAACAAATAATATACTATACATGAGCCATGTGCTATAATTACATTATTTGTCATGGGAGGTGTCAGAGACTGGAGAGGAAGAATGGCATAGTACAAAGATAAACCAAATGAAACGGCCATTTAGCCTTTTAGCTGCATTAGTTATAGGGAATATCAGAACTTCGGTCTTGCTAACAGTATTTTTAATTAGCATTAATTTTATAGGCAATATTTGAGGAAAGTAGCCTCTTTAAAATCCCATAGCAAAAAAAAAAAAAAAAAAAAAAAAAAAGTCTAGGAGCAGCTCTGGGCAATTAAAGGGGCAAAAACAAATTTGTCAGCAAAAAGTAATCCTGCAAGAAAAAAGTATGCCAATTTTGAACACTGTGATAACATGATGGAAAAGAAAAACTAAAACACAGATATACTCAGCCATACTTATTGAAGAATATGACCAATTCCTTCGTGAGAAGTCAGAATTATCAAAGTCCCTGTATATTATTTTTGTTTGTTTTACTTGGTTATGCTTAAATGTACAGTAGCATTTAGCTTTTGTACTATAGGAGAAGATCAGTTGTCTTCAGTTCTACTGCTGACTTCCTCAAACCTCAAAGGATATTGGGAATAAGTGAACCCAGTCAAATTATGAAATCCAGTAAAACCAAGAAGGAACCATCTATAGAAATTTCTTTTAACAAAGCTTTGTTTTTGGTTTTAAAAATCACTTTGACCACATGCTCCAATGTATGTGTGTGTTGTATAACATGTATGTTACTCTACTAATATATATTTAAACAAAAAAATATAATATATAATAATATAATTTATTAAAAAATAAATTTATAATATATATTTATATTTATAAAGTATCGCTTTGTCCCCCAGGCCGGAGTGCAGTGACATGATCTCTGCTCACTGCAAACTCCGCCTCCCAGGCTCAAGTGATTCTCATGCCTCAGCCTCCCAGGTAGCTGGTATTACAGGCATGCATCGCCACGCCTGGCTAATTTTTAAGGGATAAAATATATGCAACATTTTTTCACCGATGATACCGATACCTTTTTGCTGTCACCAAAAATGCCATTAATATATTTGACCAAGAGTTAAAGGAACCATTCAAAGTAACTAGATAGCCAGTCTTTATGCTTTCTCATTAGAAAATGTTCTATGATTTAATATTTTGAAAAGTCAGGGTTTTTTGTTTGTTTGGGGGGTTTGGTTTGGTTTTGGTTGTTGTTTTTTGTTTCGTTTTGTTTTTGAGACACAGTCTGCTCTGTCACCCAGGCTGGAGTGTAGTGCTACAATCTTAGCTCAGCATGTGCCACTACATCTGGCTATTTTTTTGGATTTTTAGTATAGACAGGGTTTTGCCATGTTTGTCAGGCTGGTCTCGAACTCCTGGCTTCAAGTGATCTGCCCGCCTTAGCCTCCCAAAGTGCTAGGATTACAGGTGTGAGTCACTGTACCTTGTCAAAAATTCAGTTATTTCAATACTTGGTTTTTATGGCTGTCATAGCTCAAAAAACACACACAAAAAATACTTGGATCCTACAGTCTTAGCTCCATTTGCTAAATTGTAATACTAATTTTTCAGTTTAGTTCCCCAGGAATCCCAAATATTCATTGAAATCTAGTTAGTAAGCTTTCAGATGCCTGAGATTAATCAGTTAGTTTTCAATTAGAAGGTCTTTTGGAAGATTTTTAAACAGGATAGAAAATTCCGTTTACAAGTGTGAGCATTGTTACAGTGACATGTATTTTCAGGAATAAACGTATGTAACCAACAGAAACATTTCCAAATATTTATTTTCAAAATGCTCTCACTATGTTATGACCATTTCAGAAACAGTTTGTTCCCATTTTGTTAACATTTAACTTGAAGGGATAAATTGAATGGTTTGGTGTTCCCCTATCCAAAACTTTCGAGGCTCTCAAGACCACATTAGGTACCCCTCATAGCAGTTCCATAAAATATTTTCTTTACCCTATTTTAGCACTTCCAAGCAGTATGAAAACTTTTTATAGACAAAAGTCTATAAAAAGTCATACCACGAGGCCCTCATGGTATGACTTTTGGGTTCCCTCAGTAGGCAGACTGAGATGGAATTTAGTATGCAAATGTTTTCTAAGGGGTGCCTTTGGATATCAGTTGACTCCACAGGGAGCTTTTCAGAGTTGCTTGGTGAAGATGACCGATAAGTCATTTGAGTATGGGTCACTCTAGGAAAGAGCATGACTGTGGGCAATGAGGCTCCTCAGCTGACACAATCTCTGAAGGAGCTGTCAGTAGAAGTTGAAAGCTGTTTACTGTCAGTACTCCCAGAAGCTGGGGCAACAAGTTACTGAAGAGGGATCAGGATCAATTACCCCACATAGTGACTCTGCCTGTTGGTTTATTGGCACAAGGAACTCAAAATAGCTGGGTGGTGGTTGCAGCTTATAATTCAACAGGAGTCGCTGAGGTAGGAAACGCATTCAAGAGGGTCAAATAAGTGATGGCAAGCAGGTCC